AGCCACAAAAAGAGTTTATGGCCAAGGTCCAGGGCTGGCGGCTGGCTCAGTTGTTGGTGATGGGATGTTAAAGAGACTTTAGAGCCTCGATATGCTCCAGGGTCAAGTTAAATGTAATAGAGATGGAAACGCCACCCGCCCCCAGCCACTGACTGCATCCAGATTTCATGCCTGTAGTGTTGGCCATCTGAGCCTGTGGGGACACTGGGTGGTGACGGCGGGTGGGGGCGGAAGAGGGGGCTGGAGCACGGATATTCAGCACGAACAAACCCTTCTCTGTCGCTGGTGGAAGCGATCGGCGTGTGGGCATTTTTCGGCCTTTCTGTACCAAGGCATGTGTTGACCAGCCCCACTGGAGCCTGCACTGGAGCTGCCAGGGCAGAAGCAGTAACCAGTCCTAGGGCCACAGCCAGGGAGTGTGGCCGCTATCTGGTCCCTGCTGTGGCTCCCGGGCCCATCTGTAATATCTGTGAAGCCAGGACAAGAGTACAAATACCCTCCGCACACCCATATCTAAACATTCCCAAGTCATAAATGAGGATAAACTGTTAAAGAAATGCTCCATCTAGCTACCCTGACAAAAATACCTTGCTAATGACTTGGTAGACCAGGTTTAAATGATGATTCTGAGAATCTTGGAAATTAGAATATGGCGGTGTGGGGAGAACTGAGCCATCTAAAACCTCCCCCGTTTTCTCCCTCAGCTCTGTCTCCATCCTGTGCCTTTGGTGGGGGTTGGGGGGGCGGGGTGGAGGGTGCCCTGTGCACACCTGTATGGACACCCCAGGCTACACATCCAACCTCTATTCACATCCCCTGCCAACATCCACTGCCCTGGGGTTGGGATGCTGGGAAGAGGTTGCAGATGTTTGTGTAGAAAATCCTGGGGTCCTTAGTACCCAGAGAATGTTCTAGAAGAGGGCAGTGGTTCTGGGTGGATGTGTGCCCTTGGCCTCTACAGCTCTGGACTCGACATAGGGGCCCGTTGACTAGGTCCGAGGGGCTGCACTGGCCTACCTGCTGTCATCGCAATACGATGAACTCATTCGTCTTGTTGCCAGAATCCTCTGGTAATCAGGTCTTAAAGAGACCGAGACAGTGAGATGAGATAGTCTAGTGGTTTTGACTTTCTAGGAGGGGTCCAAGATGCTGGATTCGAGGCTCCAGATAAACTCATTCTGGTTGCATCTAGCGAGTGCAAGCTGCTTTTCCTGGAGCCCAGCACACAGCCCCCCAAAATGTGCCACACCACACGGTCCCTGCCCAGCCTCCTCTTGCTGGCCTGAGAAGGAAACGTAGTTGGATGGAGAAAGGCAGTGTAGGCATCAGAGCACCTGGAGCCAAATCCCACTCCATCACTGTAACCACCCACCTTCTCTGAGCCTCCAGTTCCTCATCTCTAAAGCGGGGATCCTGGCAGCTCTCGCATGGAGTTGTGAAGAAGCTTAAACAGAGCTCACGTTGGTAGAGGTTCTAGTACGGTGCCTGGAACTCATTTGTTTGCTCTTTCAACCAATATCGTATCGCCACTGCTATGTGCCAGGCACTGTTCTAAATGCTAGAAACACAAGCAGCTCAAGTCCCCGCCCTTGGCGAGCTCGCCTTCCAGCCCAGAGAGGTAGACAACCATCATCAACAAGTGGGATAATTTCACAGCCTGGTATGCACGTGCAGAAAATAAAACAATGTGATGTTGAGTCCGAGGAGGTGACATTTCGGACCCAAATAACATGGTGGAGATCTGGGAGAGGGACATTCCTAGTGCAAGGAAGACCCTCACGGAACAGTAGCCCTGGCATTGCCTACTGTTCGTGCAATGTCACTTCTCAAAAGGCATCTCCCCGGTTGAGTTGTGGCTCCTGGTCGGCATATTTTCTTGGGCTTGACTACAGATGTCCCTCATGTCCCCAGCCTCCCCAGTGTTCACAGGAACTTTATATCTAAGCAGTGACTATTTCAACTGGTAATATTTTAAACCTCTTCTTCTTCCCCAGAATTGTGTCTATTCCAAAACTGGGGTACAGCCAGCAGAAGCGATTGCTGATTGGTGCCCCACAAGCCCCAGGCTGCCCTTCCTCTGCTCACTCATTCATTCAGTAAGTGACCCCTGGCCTTGACGCTGTGCAGGGCTTGTGCCCACTGACCAGAATGAACCACTTGAGGCAGACCGAGTCATAAAACAGATTCATTAAGAGGGACTTCTTCTATGGAACCTAGTAGAACAAGGGTCTGGTGCCATTTCCACACCTCTGGGACACCGTCTCCCTAGGATTCTGGGAGAAACATATTGTGACATTGGCAGGGGTCCAGCTGAGTCCAGAGCCTTTAACTGTGTCCCTGGTAGGAGGCTTCTAGGGGTAGGGAGTGGAGACTGATGACAGGCAGCAACTCCAGCCGTGCACACTTCTCACCTGAGTCCGTGGCCAGGCCGAGCGGGTGATGTTAGATTGTTTTGTGTCACAAACTCCTAGCCTCTGAACCTTTGGTCCCCCTCTGTGATCGTCTATCTTTCCTCCAGTGGCCCAACGTGAGTGAAGTCCCCACTCTCCAGGAACCTTCATTCACAGTAAGGTTTAACTGATGCCTGGAACTGTAGACCGGGATTTAAGCAACACCCATTGGTCCATGATGAGCAACTTCAGTTCGCCTGTGTTGTTTCCTCAGTGGAAGCCCTACCTGCGCTGAGAGTGGAGGTCACTGAGCTGGCTCTTGTGCTGAGGTTGCCATGGAGTCTGGAAAGATGCTGCTCTTTCCCCCACGTGGCCCGTGACTCTGTGAGGAGACAGCCCCTCTGAGCCAGGGGTCTCATCCACTGGAGCCAACAATGCCGGGGGCTAGAAAGGGTGGCTGAGATTATCCTTAAGGGCAGGAGGTGGGGGTAGGAGAGCAGAGAGACAGAGTGGGAGAAGGGAGGACGGGAGGCAAGGAAGTGAGAGGAGGAGGCGGGATTCAGCTCCGAGCCCCCCTATCAGAGCCCTTCCCCCAGCGTAATGGCTAATTTTATGTGTCAACTTGACTGGCTCACAGGGTGCCCAGATATTTGGTTAAATGCTGTTTCTGGGTGGGTCTGTGAGGATAAGATTAGCATTAGAATCTGTAGACTAAATCAAGCAGATGGCTCTCCCCAGTATGGGGGGGTCCCATCCGCTCTGTTGAGCACCTGAGTGGAATTAAAAGGTGGAAGAAGAGAGAATTCAGTCTGTCTGACTACTTGACCTTGGTCTTCTTGTGCCCTCAGACTGGAACTTAACCACTGGCTCCCCTGGCTGTCAGGCCCTTGGATTCAGACTGGAATTATACTACCGGCTTTCCTTGGGTATCTAGCTAGCCAACTGCAGATCACAGGACTTCTCAGCTTCTATAATTATGTGAGCCAATCCCTGATAATCTCTCTCTCAATAGGTAGGTAGAGAGAGAGAGAAAGATGATAGATAGATGATGATAGATAAATAGATGATAAATAGATGATAGAGATAGATGATATAGATAGATAGATATAGATGATAGACGATGATAGATGATAGATATAGTTGATAGATAGATGATAGATGATAGACAGACAGACAGAATGTACGTATCTCCTATCGGTTCTGTTTTTCTGGAGAACCCTGGCTAAGACACACAGCTACCCACTCTGGAGTGGCTTCTACCAGGTACTTTGTCACAAGACCTCATTCGTTTCCTTCATGGCACTTATCACTACTTGCAGGCGTAGTTTTGTTTTCTTGTCGAAGTTCCGCCCGTAGCCACGAGGCCCGTGTGAGTAGGGGGTCTGTCTTTCTTATTCAGTGAGTACCCACAGGGCTGGTGCCTAGCACACACTCAGAGTCCTTCGTGGGAGCAGAGATGGGAGGGAGCTCCGAAGGAGGACACATAAGGAGTGTATCATGAGAAACCATGGAGAGGTGATTCCCAGAAATGCCCTGGAACTTCTCACGAGCCCCTCGTCTAAGTGTCAGTCCCCAGCAAGGTCCAAGCGGCTAACACGCGCCATCGTGCAGTAACCTGCTGGGCCCATGACGTTGTTTGTTTTATACCATCTTGCATTCACTGCCTGTCACGGCTTATGCTCGAAAGAATTGTCGCACACCCGCTAAGGCCACTGATGGAGGTTTTCAGAGGCCAAGTCTCAGTTTGTTTGTTTCGTTACCATTTCGTTGGGCCAATGCAACCTGCTTCCTGGCCTCAGGGAAAGTTTATGGCCAGTTCTGGAGATGACAGGTCTGGATGGTACCAGCACAGAGAAGGGCCAGGCATTATTTGGCTGAGGAAGGACTTAGGGGGTGGGGGGTGGGGACCAGGAGGGGAAACGACTTCAGAGGAACGAGTAAGTCTGAGCGGAGGCCATCACAATTGTGTAACTCTCCTTCCCCTTCTACCTGCTACTGCTAAGGATAAGGAGCAGGGTTTCAGTTCTGTTGACAAACACCCATTGGCTAGTTCTAGGCTTTCTCCTTGGTGCCATTTTAGTCAAACGTGGATTTGTTCTTTGTGTAACATCCCAGGGTTGCTTAAGCCTGTCCCAGGAAGAGCAGAAGTCCTGATTCTAAGGAGAGGGACCTGACCCCCAATCCCCACCACCTGAGCTGCTGTCTCTGGAGAGGAAGGAGACGCTGCGTGGTCTCCCAGACCACGTCATAGAAATGGACGTCACAGAATCATCTCTGCGGGTGAGCGCTGCAAATCTCATATCCCTTGGTTGGTTTTCAGCCACCAGCTACGAAGCCTGACTCGGCCGCCTCCTCCCCACGCACACACCTCAAGCTGAGAGGCAGCCTCGGCCCCGGGAACCCTTCCTGAGCTCCGCTCTCCGCCGATTCTAAACTCTGAGATCAGAGGTCCCATCGGGTGCACCTAGGGTGCTAGGCATGGAGCACGTGCTGCTCTGTGCTCCGGGCACAGACGGTGGTCGGCGTCTCTCCTGCTTTGAGCATTCCCCTCTCTTCTCAGAGGGGAGCCACCGGCTCGGGTTCTAGAAAGCGAGCAATGGCAGGGGCGGCTCAGTCGTCTTCATCCTCCTCCTCCTCCTCGGCGTCTTTGTTGGGGGTGCACCGCTGGAAGCACTGCACCACGGTTGCCAGAAAAAAGCTGGAGATGATGGCAGCGATGGACACGGCCACACCGGAGAAGATGATGATGAACAGGTCCGTAAGCGAGAGGTTGAACTTGCACTCGTTGAAGCTGGCCTCCGACAGCTCGTGCAGGAACACCCTCCTGTTCTCCAGGGGCAGGGAGCACTGGATTTTGTCGAGGCCTGGAAAAAGGCAGGCAGAATGAGAGCGAGCTTTGGGCTGTAGCCTAAAAGTTGGCAAAGCGAGTGCTTGCAAAGTACAAAGTTGGGGCAGCTCCCCGCCTCCCCAGAAACAAAAGGGGTGGGGGAAGTTGGTTGGAATGGAATTTAAGCTTTTTAAAAACCTCAGGGAAACCACGATGGAAGAAATCAGACTGTATTGGCGCACCTTAACTCTAAGGCATGATGCTCTTTTGATTCTGAAGAACTCGGGGTGATGAAGGAAGGGTAGCTTAATCTTTTTAGGGTGTAGGACTTCTGTAGACCCTAATTCAGACCTGGCAAGACCCAGCCTCAGGGATGGGGGTGTGGGTGGGGGTGAGGTGGCGGACGGGGCAGATACAGTGGGATGGGGGCGGTGTTAGTGTTTGTTACCAAGCACGATCTACGCATCCTGACTGATACGTAATATGAACTACAGAGTCGTGTTACTGCCATGATTTCACAGACTCTAGACATAGGAAAACGCATGACGTTAAAATGTTTAACAAAGGGCTCATGTCTTCTGTTTCTGATCCGGAAATAGAGAGAAAAACAAAATAGTAGTGACGAACACTCATACCACCCTTACTAAGTGCAAACACTTCTAAGTGCTACATTCATACTAGCTCTTAATTCTCACAACTTTCTGAGATAGGCACTATGTTATGCCCATCTACAGATGAGAAAATTGAAGCACAGAGACTTTATGTAGCTTGGCTTTAGCAGCACGGCTTCTCCGAGATGCAAGGATAACGTTTTGACATTAAACTCGACTGCCCGCCATCTCTGCCTGCCTTTGGCTTGATTTGGACTCTCAGAAAAATCTTCAGCTGCTCTCTTTTTCAGCGCTTCCTGCTTTCAAAAAGCTGGCCCTCAAGCCATCCCCAGTATTATCTGAAATTCAAGACGCTTTCTTCACTCCATGCTAATTAGCTGGTTTCTGCCCGGCAAAGGGCGGCCCTGCTAATTGCACAGTGAACTTGCAAAAAAGACACTCTTTGGGTCTTCATTGGTATGTATTGCCTTCTCCAGCTCAGAAACAGAAGTGGGAGGAAGACTGGTTGAGCTTCCTCCTTCCTTCAGTCCTGGCCCATCTTTAACTCCTATAGCCAACCCATGATGCTCTCCTCCCCACGGGAACCATTGCCTAGCAACCAGACTCACGTCCGTCCTCTCCCAGAATCAGTGCCTGCCTTCTATACTCAAGGAATCGGCTGGACCAGAGCTCTGCAGGTTTCTCCAGTTTTCACTTGACTACAGTTTTTGACACTTTCTTTTTCTTAAAGAAGGCAAACTTTTATTTACTTTATCTGAATGTTTTACATGCACCTGAACAGAACAGGAGAGCGTTAAGACAGAGTTACATTGGGATTTCCTTGTAGACACTGTTTTCTTCCGTGGAAAAGTGGGAAAAGCAATTGGCCTGCCTTCTCTTAAAATCCACCCCACCCCCAGCCAAAGATGTTATGAACATAAATGAGATGGACACCAAAGAACTGCAATAAAGCACAGGCAGTTTCTAAAGCCAAGATAATATTTGCCACCTTCAAGGTCATTTTTACCTAGAGAAAACGTTCTAGAAATCCTTCTTCAATGAGCTGTATCAACTAGAAAACAACCACGACAAAGTGACACCAGCCTACAGAGCCCGCTGTTTAAACCTAGCTTTTGCTGGCTCCGACTCCTCAAGTCAATTCTGATTTCCATAGTATTCTTTGTGCCTTGAGATTAGGTTTGGCACCTTTACAAAGTGACACTTTTAGGAAATGTCACCTCACATTTCTCTGTAGCTCAAAGAGACAGGCTTGTTTGAAAAAAAAATAAACAACGCCACACACAAGCCCACCCGGGGTGGGAGACTCGGGAACACGCTCGATGGCGCTATCATGATAAGATACGCTGACTTAATGGGTTTTCACAGGTCACAAAGCACAGGGACATAAAGAGTGGGACACAGAGCGTCAGCCGGGGCTGGCATCACTGCCAGGCCTCTCTAAAGACACATTTGAGGCCAACTGCAGAACTCGGGAGTTGAGATACTGACTCTGGGGTTCCCTCTTCTCTCATGCAGGATCTTACTTTAGACCGGGGTCTCTAACTCTCTGCACTGTTGGCATTTGGGGCCTGATAACTCTTTGACATGGGGGGCTGTCCTCGGCACTGCAGGATGTTTGTCATTATCCCTTCCCTGTCCCCACCAGAGGCTGGTATCATGTCCCCTCCCATTGTGATAGTCAAAAATGTCTCCAGACAGTGCCACATGTCCCCAGGAGGCGGGTAGCAAAGAAGAAGGAATCCCCACCGTTGAGAACCACTGCTCCGGGCTGAAACGCTCGGCCAAGTGGGTAACCTCTGAGGCAGCGCTGCTCTTTGTTACCAAACGGACATTCAGTTATTAAACAGCTCGTCAGGAGAAGGGCGCCACGGATGCTCTGCAGTCCAAGCGTGGAGGGATGCTCCCCTATGTGCAGCTGAAGATTCACTGCCAGGAATTGAGATTCGGATGAGGAGACTAAAAATGGCAGCCGGGAGCCATGCCACGCTCAGGCCGCAGCATGTTTGTGTTTGTCATCGAGACAGTGCTAGTCTTTTATTTTAAGGACAAAAAAAAAAAGTTAAAGCAAGAGATAAGGTCATGTTGTCATGTGGACATAATTGTCAAGGTGCCATAATGAGACAGGACACATGCCGTGGGCCTGCTCACTCATTCATGCCACCTGGCTGGCCCCTATGCACACATCTGAGTTTGCAACCACTCGGGGCAGTGGGCCTGTCACCTGCCCCAGAGGCAGCCGGGGAGTAAAAGGAATGGGCAGAGGTTGAGGAAAAGACCATCTGCCCGTGAAGATCTCTCAGGAGCCCAGAGCCCAAAGCTGTGGTCCTCAGGCTTTTGGATTTTACATAGTGGTAAGAAGTAAAAAATAAGAACTAGAGGACAGTTACATAGCACTCAAGTTCATAACCCTGTCCAGTCAAGACATAAACACATACACACACACACACACGTGCGCGCGCACACGACTTTATAAAAGAGGGGACATTTGTACACCGTTAAAGCCAGGAAGGGCAGGATAACATAAACAGTCATAAATACATTTGGTTTGAAGAAAAACTCATCGCGACGCCCTCTGTTCTCATTTTGCAAAGGACAAAACGGCTACTGGTCGAGGGCCACGTCCGGGCAGCAGCATCCCATTCCACGTTCTCCACTCCGCGTGGAACAGCTGCCTGGGATCGCGTCCTCATTCCTCCAGGCTAGAGGTCCCCACGCCACAGCTCCAGGGCCGTACCTCCCCGCCTTCCCCCTCCCATATGTTTATGTCGATAAAGTTTTATTGGAACAAAGCCAGGCCCAATGGTTTACACATGACCTAGGGCTGTTTCTGCGGGTTTGAGTAATTGCAAAAAATTATATGACTCACAGGCCTAAAAGAGTACGATCGTGACCCCGGCTGGCAGATGAGGAAACTGAACAGGTGTGTTACACGCTTGAGGTTTTCCAGCTAAGACACGGTGGAGCCGGGATCTGGAGTCAGGTAGTCTGACTCCAAAGCCCGTGCCGTTGGCCGTTCCCCTCTCCTTTTGCCGTAAAAATGCCTGCACACGTCACTGCAGGGGCCACCAAGACCTAGTGAGTCATGTCACACCAAGACTGCACGGTAAACTTACAAATCTAGTTCGGAGCCCGTGCTCCCTCCAGCCGTGGCCCGAGCCCAGGGCACTCCGTGGAAGGAACGTGGAAAGTCATTCTACAAGGTCAGGGTTGTGTCAGTTCCTTAGGGCTGTCGTAGCAAACGACCACACACCGGGTGGCTTATCACAAATTCATTCTCGCGCACAGGTCTGAAACTCACGTGCCAGCGGGGCCGGGCTCCCTCTCGGGGCTCCAGGGGAGAATCTTTCCGAGCCTCTTCCGGTTCTCGTGGCTGCAGCCGTTCTGTGACTTACGGCAGCATCACTCTGATCTCCGCCTCTGTCTTCGCCTGTCAGTTCTCTCTCTTACGACACCTGTCGTTGGATTTATGGCCCATCCGGGACAATCTCAGCTCCAGATCCCTAATGATTTTTGCAAAGACCCTTTTTCCAAATAAAGTCACACATGTAAGTTCCAGGGCTTAGGACGTGGACATGTCCTTCTGGGGGATGCAGGTCAACCCACGACAGCTGTCTCACGTGTGACAGTCATTTGTCGACCTTCGGCGTCTCCCTCTCCAACTTTTTACATTTGGAGATGGCTCCCAGATTTCATTTTGGTCAATTGCCTCTCACCCCATGGGTAGGTCTTGGTGCAACTTTCTTAAAATGCACAGACGGCCCTGCCCCGGGGGGTCAGCACAGGACCCACACTGAGCCAGTGTCTCTCTGTCCCGTACACTGAATCATGGGCGGATTGACCAAAAACATGGCTGGAGCCCGCTCAGTCCCACAGCCCTGCCCTGGAGAAACTGTCGCTTGGTTTCTGCTTTCTAGACGCCAGGGTGGCCTCATCCTTTCCCGGGATGTCCCCAGGCTTCTCTTCAATTCGTGAGTTACCTGGCATCCCTGTCGTCAGTCCCTTCTTGCTCACATTCGCCTCGGTCGGCTCCAACAAATGACAGGAAAACAGAGTTCAAGGATGGGCTGGACACCTGTCCTGTCAGCCTCTGTCCCACAGCCACAAATCATGTCACTCTGCCAGCTGTCCTACGAAACTATGCGCTGGGTGGCTCCAGGGTCTTGAGAAAGTGGGAGTGGTTCAGTGCAACTCACTTCCCCTCCGAGGGAGAGAAATCAGTGACCAAGCACAACTGACGGGAAGCTGAGTGCCTACCTCTCGTCCTGTGATGGGTCTTCTTCCCACCCGCATCTCCCGTCACCCAAACGAAGTAGGTTCCAGCTCATTCTGGCCTAGCCCGATGGGGTCCACTGCTCTTTGACTTCATAATCATCTCTTCCTTCTCTGCCAGGGCACATTCAAAAGCGACAGGCCACCTTCCTTATGC